TTCTCAAATAAATATATTAGTGTCCCTCAGAAAAATTCTCATGAGTAAGTTTTCCATTTTTTTATAAAACTTTACATTTGGGTAGTAGCACATAGCTCAAAGATCCTCTTTACATGTATATTCTTATTTGAGCCATTCATGAAACAAGCATATAAAAATTCAAGATAATTGGGCCCTTTCCATTTTATAGTTTAGAAGAGTGCTATGTGGAGATTTTGAGCAGATAAGTAAAGCAAAGTAAATTTTGAACAGTAATGGTAAAAGTCACAAAAAAAGTAAAAAAACCTGAAATATCATTCATAATTATAACATGCAAAAATTAGAATATCAAATATATACCTTAACTATACTTCCCAAATCTTAATGAGCTTAAACTAGCAACTTTTTATTCTCATTATTATTATTGCGTCTCACGATTCTTTGGATTGATGGTAGAGTTCACTGGTGTGTAGGTAGCTCAGAGGGGCCTCACTAAAGCCTGAGCTGAGAGGACTGGGGGCTGGGCAGCTGGGCCTCTGTCTCCACATCTCTCATTTCCTTGGGCTACTTCCAAATGTGGACGTCTGAGGGTATAAACAGGACCAAACTGGAAGACTAGCCTGAGCAGCTACATGATACTCTCTCTATGTTCTTTTGGTTAAAAAAACAAACGAAGAAAAGCAGGGGTTCAGTTCCAATCTAGGAGTGAGCAGACAGGCCCTTAGACCTTACTTTTGATGGCAAGTAGGACAGTCTCGCTATAAGGGGCAGAAGACAGGGGGAAGTGTGATTCATTGGGGGCCAGTATTTTAACAATATACCACACCCTGATACTAGATTTCATGGTATAAAAGTGCATTCACAATTTTTTTTCTCATTTATTGTCACAACAACCTGAAAAGTAGTACCATTATTTCCTAAATTTTTATAGTTAAAGAACTGCAAGACCTAAAAAATTAATAACTTACAAATCCAAATAGCTATAAGATGGTACAGCTAGGATATAAAATCAGATATTGCAAACTAAAAAATCATGAAGAATAGATATACACACATGTATCCATTTTCCAAAGAGTAGGCTCCAAATTCTGAAGTTCCAGTATAAAACAGGTGAATAAATAATGCCGATTATCTAAGTTATAACCTCATGAATTATTAATATTTTTCAGCTTATGAGGTATTGTGACAAATAAACTAATATGTTTACAGAAACACATTTTAAATATAAATGTTTTTACTTTTTTAAAAAATTATACATATATATATTTTTTTCTTGGATTAAGTATAAAAGAAAAGAAATTGCCTGATGGTTCAGATGTCCTAATTCGAATATAAATTTATCAATTTTTTTCTCTAAAACATCTGTCATGTTTTTCCCACAAAATGGAGAAGCAAATTCACAATCCATTGTTACCTCACTTGAATTTACGTCATTCCAGTTGTAAATCCCACTTTACAGAAGAGTTAACAAAAATGGCAGAGGGTAGCAATTCAGAAGCAGCTCAAGCACAATCATAAATGATGTTTGCACTTGAAGCCACTGCAAATTCTTGTTCCACAAAATGAACACAATCTTCTCTCATTTTCTATTAGAGAGATAATAATTATTAAGAAAAAGATTTGCATATTTACCTATATAAAAATACTAAGCCAAATTGTCTATATTTATAAAAACATGAACATATATGTATAAACACATACTTTTCAACTTAAAGAAAATAAAAATACTTTTACCATTCATCATATTATAGAAAAAAGCAGTCGTGGGTCATGCCACGCCATTTTTTTTCTGCTGCAGAAGGCATTTGTCATAAAAGACATTAGCATTTTGGTTCCTTAACATAACAGATTGCATAACTTTTGTTGTTATTTAAAAATAATTGTTGGTGTTTGTACAACATAAAAAAAATCTTTAAGTGCACTTAGAAAAATAAGAAAATTATAAACAATTTAAAAGAAAATGTAAGGTTACCTGTAGTCCTGTCACTAAACGTATGTAGACTTTGTTATTTGCTTCATTTGTATCCTGGTTTTTTTTTTTTTAATGCATTTTGGTAGCTTAATTTGTATTTCATTTTTGGTATATTTGTGTTTATATTACTTTATCAAAAAGTATATCCTAAGCTTTCAAATGTATTCCATTACAGGGAATCACTAGCTAGTCAGACTTTATCATTAACAATATTTATATTGGTTCTTATCTACAAAAATAGAAACTACCTGAGAACGTATGACAAGAACTAAGTGAAAGGAAAAGACCTGGTTCTCTTTAGTTCAAGAAGCCGTTATAGAAAGACAATAGTATGTCACAGTGGAAGTTTTTAGAAATTTAGTCCTTTTATGACCAACCTAAGTGAATTCGATCTAGTAACAGCTTATTAAATTAAACCTAAATTCAAATAAATGATCAACAGAGTAACTATAAGAGGGCTGTCTGGAAAGTATCCAGCCAGGAATGTCTCTATTTTTCATGTAACATGGCTAGGTACTTCCCATATCTCATAATGAACAGGGAGCAAAAATGATTTCGATCAGAGCATCATTAGCTCATTTGTAGAATAAAAAGTAATTAATTTTTTTTTTGGCTAAACAAAGAGAAACGCCATAAAGTTATCTGCAGCATTTAACTTCTCATCCTTGCACCTCAGATTTCTGAAAATTCATATATTTGTAATGTATCTTGATTGTGCCCCGGTGTTTCTCTTTATCAAGAACACCTCCTTAAGTCTTAAAAAAGAAACATTCAAAACTGAGTTTGAAAGGTCCCAAAGGCAACATCATATTAAAAAGGTAACAATCAAAATATTTCCGCAGTTCTATCATCTGTTCTCTTGTTTTCACAGTCCAATTACCTTTCCATTTTGTATCCTGTTCTGTTTTCTGATGTTTTCTCCTGGGGGAGAGAAGAGAGCCATGATGAATGCACATGTTCGCACAATGGGCCATAATATTCCCATCTTGCAAATTATTACTTTTTGTGTAGCCTATCATCATTCCTTTGCATATTATCGCTTCCTATTTTTTTCTTCTTATTTCACAGGCTCTTTTCCAGCTGCAATGGAAGAAAATATGGAGTTAATATAATTTTCTAAGCTTAATCATTATTCTGAGAGTGAAGTTGAAAAAGGTATTCATCTCGTCAATTTTTGAAGCTATGGTTTATGGCTGTGAATATACTTTATTCTCACAAAACTGAAACATATTATGAGAAAACAGCATATGGATTATCTTCTTCTTTCTCACATTTAAGAGTGTTACTGAGTCTCAGTGCAGCCTGGGTCATGAAATAGCTACCTACCCATTTTGTCAGATGAGGTGTTATGATCCAGGAGTGTGTACCTAATTGTTCTTCTTTGAAACAAACTCAATTCTAGGAGGTATGATCCTATTGTACTTGCCTCAGGATGATTAGTTTGTGTAAGTGAGAGCATTCTCTTCATTTGTATGAAGGACTTTTTGCAATTTTGACTTCGGAAGTCACATCTTAGTAATACTGTTATGAGACAATTAAAGTTTATGCATTATCTTTGTAGGAATTCATCCAGTAATGTTACTTCATCTGACAAGTAACCATCTTTAAATGCAGTTAATGCAGTCACAGATTTTTATAACTAAACTGCTTTAGTTTCAGTACAACTGGATGGGAAAATATCAAACTGCACAATGATTACAAAACTTGGAAGCTTACTTTCCGAACACCTTATTCATTTTCAGTTATTTATTCATTCCCATTTGTTAGTGTTTGATTTTCTTCACCCAAACAGTTGAGGCATTAATCTGCACTGTAAGGAAAGGTAGGTAGCAAAATTGCGTTTGTAGATCTAGGGCTGAACAACAGTCCCTTGTAAGAAATGTAATTGAATGAAAAAAACGGTGTGTGTGTTGAGGAGTGGGGGGAAGTTAGCGGAGAGTGAGTCTGAAAAAGTTCTCAGTTGCATTTCTTGTACGATCCAGTTGTATGAGTGTCAAGTTAATTTAATTTTTTGGTTCTTCTGTCCACATTAGTAAAATAAAATAAAAATAAAATAAAGTAGGGGGGATGAAATAATGTCAAAATTCCATACTATTACAATATTTTAATATTTTACAAGATGGATTTTACTACAGTACCCCAGGTCCACAATTTCCCATCATCCCTTACTTTTGCATAGTCTATTCAGGGAACAACACAAGTTATGAGCTGTCAAAACCCTAGCTGCTTACTGATGTTGTATCATTTTAATAGTTTTAATCTAATTATTTTAAAGTTCTAAGTAAGAAGGGCTACTCTTAGCTCCATTTGGTAAATTTGCCTTAAAGAGCACGGGGGCCCCTCCTGATAATCTTCAGTTACTACAAACCTTTCCCAGGATCTTTCAAAAACGCTCCCTTAGAAAAAAAATAGATCCAACTACAAATCCCAGGAGCCAAAGCTGGAAACAGGCATTCCCCCCTCCCTGGCAGTTGTTCCCCACCGCACCCTCTAGAACCTAGTAAGCTAAAAGCTCGAGTTGAGGCATCCTAAAATGTGCCGGAAAGAAACAACGGCTGTTTCCCCCGTTTTGAGCTGCGCTTTCGCTGGGCCCCTTTAAATCGGTGCTGCGCGTGAGGCAGGAGACAGGGCGACGCAGGATGGGGTGGGCGTGGGACGCGGGCATCACCTGTTCCGCAAGGCGCGTGCGCACTGCGAGGGCGCGGACGAGGGGGCGGGGTGCGGTGGGAGGGGCGGACGGCGCCCGGCTGGCACCGCTCAGATCTGCTTCTCCCCGGCTTGGGGCGCCGAGGCGGCGTCCGGGAGGCGTCTTCTGCAAAGGTTGCCTGGCGCTGTCCAACATGGAGGAGGCACCGGCCGTGGGCGTCACCTGCGAGCGGGACTAACCCCCGCCTGGCGTTCCGGGCAGTGGTGCCCGGTCCCGAGCCCTGGGACTCGGCCGCCTGCGCGCCCCGCGGGACCCCGGCTCGGGTTGCTCCTCTGGCCGCGGGCTTCTGGACTGGGACGCAGCGCCGGGAGGGAGCGCGCCGGCCCCGAGTCTCCCTGAGCCATGGGCAACGAGGCGAGCTTGGAAGGGGAAGGGCTCCCCGAAGGGCTGGCGGCGGCGGCGGCAGCAGCGGCAGCCGGAGGAGGGGCTGGCGGGGCGGGGAGCCCCTTGCACACCGGGATCCCGGCCGGCATGGAGGCGGATCTGAGCCAGCTGAGTGAAGAGGAGAGGAGACAGATCGCCGCTGTCATGTCAAGGGCGCAGGGGCTGCCCAAGGGAAGCGTTCCTCCGGCCGCTACGGAGTCTCCTTCCATGCACAGGCACGCACAGCATGATGTATATGTCCCGGCATATATGTACAGCTTCTTGTGCACATATGTGCCAGCCCGTATGTGCCAGCACGGCGGTACATATATGTCGCCTCCATTCATTTTATTCTCCCCAATGGGGTGGCGATAAAGAGATCATAAGCCTTTTGACGGGCGGAATAAAAATGGTGTATTGTGGAGTTTCTGGTGGGATAGTCAAAGGTTACAATCCTGGAACTGTGATTTTAGGTTGTGATTTTTGGCCTTTTGGAACCTTTTCCCTCTAGGATGGCGTGGAGTGACGCCCTCCAGTGTTTTACTAATCTGGAAGTCTTCCATTAATACAACACGGACGTGTGGGGAAATGGATAGAGCTGGGTGTTTACCTGTCTCTGTTTAAACCTCCTCGGGCATTTCGGGGTCTTTTTCTCCATGAGTGATAGCTAAATATTCCTGTAACAATACCTTTAATCCTCCTGTGATCCGTCCTCCCTTCCCACCCCACGTCCATGGAGAACTGAAGCTACTTGGGTAGAAAGAATAGAATGAATCCACCTTTTATATTCAACGAGGAACCCTAAAATGTGTCGTGGCATTAAACAGATGGTTTGGTCACAGCAGAGCAGGTGCTGTGCATGCATTTCTGAATTAGCATATGCTATTTTTTAAACCACTGGTTTTTTGTATGCAAAAGTGGCTTTCAGTTTCTGGAAGAACATGTGAATTTGCATTACCTTAAGATTAATTTTCAGTGCATCCTTTTAATAACAAGTCAATGACAACTTGCACAGGCAATTATAAGAGCTAATATTATAGATAAGGATTAGCTCTTATAATTCCTTCTCTGACTCAGTTTTTCTTCATCCCAATAAATTAGTCGTTTTCTAATTAGGGTACTAAGAGGGTATAATCATTTTGCCTGCCCTGCCTTTCTTATTGTAAACAAATCCTTTAACTTTGCACCCTCCAGCAGAGAACACTTTTCTGTCCGTGGTTCTGAAACCATTCCTGCTTAATGACAACTGGAGGGAAGCCTACAATTTTCATTTGAAATATTGGATATACGAAAGACCTAGATTCCTATCCTCTACTTGAAAAATATTTAAACTCATTTGCTATCACATTAAGTATCTGCATATAATTTTGTCAAATACTTAAAATATTAAACTTAATGTAGGAGAAATGTGAAATGTTTCATGGATAATGGCAGTATTTTCACATAAAATCTTAAATGCTTAAGATCTATTAGGTAACAAATCTTATTTATCTTGACAGAAAATATGACTAATAGTGAAAACTAACCTTTTTATGTATGTCTCTCTGTTTTAAAACTAGTGTTATATCGGGCTATTTCTTTGGTAAACGCCTTTCTTATCCTTTAGTTTCAATAGACAATTTATAATATATGCTGTTTTTCTCTACTTAATGAAAACTTGAATTGGAAAAAAATAGTATTCATTCACTAGATTTTCATAGGATAATAGCAAGGTACAGTTCTTTCATTAACATTTTAGAAATGTATGCCAGTTCTTTTATAATTCTCACATAGAGGCAGAAGCAACAGGTCTTGCATGCTGGTTACAAATACTAATGAAAAAAAGTATGATCTTTAGTTTCTAGATTTCCAACTATTCTTATGTTTAGAGGGTGTTGAAATATATTATTTCAGCCCATAAGCCATTTGCTTCATACAGAATTTCTATCAGTATCATTTTAAAGCTCTCTATTGATAATTTTGTTTTGGTGGAATTCTTATTAATAGGTAATTTGTAGGCTAACTAGTGACTGATGAAAGCATTACCCAAATACACAAAAAGAAACATTAAGTTTCTGATTTTTGCAACTTGCTTGTATTTTACTGAAAGATTTCTATAAAAGGTATTTCACCTTTGGAAAGTTGTTATTCCCATAGGTGATAACCAAAGAAACACTTGGTTTGACATGTAGACTTTGGGTTCTAATAATTTTAATGTATTTAAGAAAGCATAATCAAATTATTTGAAGTTTTAAGCATTTAAAATGTAGGAATTAAACATAGTAGGAATTTGCTTTTGGTTTGTTTTAGATAAAGGTGGAGGCTCTAGGTTGATATCCTGCTGCTTTTAATTAATTGATAGTAAATTACATGTACTTCTCAACCAGTATGCCTTAAAGGTTCTTTACCTTTTAAGTAAGGCTAAGAATACCTGTCTTAACTGTCTTACAGTTCTTGTGAGGATCAATTACATATTGATAGGGATGTTTTTGTTTTATTTTTAATTTAAAGGAACCCCACATATATAAAAATTGATAATATCTGTATCAGCAATGGATGACACTGCCATTGATGGCTACAAAGAAGTTCTGTGTTTAATTGTACATTGTTATGAGTTATTTTGTTGCGTTGATGTTGTTTGACATTTGGAAAATTCAGTGTGGTGTGCACATCACCTCCTTTCCCCCCAACCAGGAGTCAGAGACCAGATTTCAGTGGCTGACTAGTTTTATGACCTTGAGTTAGTCTCTGCTTCTTTTGATACCTGTATTTAGAGACTTAAGAGAATAAATGAGTAAATAATTAATTAATTTATATAAGTAATTTGTAAAAATGAATAGATATTCCCAAACTTGCTTATATTTCTAATATTTTAACATTTTATGTGACTCAGCACAAAGTATCATTGTTACATTTAAAAAATACTGTGTTAAATTTAAAAATATTTTATTATTCCAAAGAAAAGCTGCAGTTTCATAGGTATTTACCTCATTTCAGCTGAAATATTTTTTGTGCTGACCTATGAAAGGAAACTTCAAATCTGGGGATGATAACAGAAAAATGAAAAAGGCAGATAATATTAAACATGGGTAGTTACAAGCTGGAAGTATAAAACAGGTTGCAAATTTAATGTTCCTGGATTTTTTTTTCACTGTAGACCCAGGGAAGGGCAGTTTTATTACTTTTTCTATTCATTGCATTTACTGTTAGAGAAATATCAGCTTTACTGAAAAACTTCTTTGATTAGTAGAATATTTTATTCTACTATGAATTCTGGCTGCATTCCTTTCTTTAGTATTCCTTTGGGCCTCCCAGCCTAAACAGATAACTCTACAATTGTTTTCTTTTCCAAAGCAATAGGCTAAGACCTGGTTATAAAATGAATATGGAATCTCTCCATCTATATTCCATAAGGCCTATGGAAGAATTTAAAGCAAATAGAATAAAACATTAATCTAGAATAAAACAAAATTTTAGCAGAATTCTAAATGCAAAATTTCAGAAGAATTTAAAGCAAATAGAATAAAACATTAATCTAGAATAAAACAAAAACCTGATGTATGTATTTCTTGTTCACTCATTGTTAATCATCCATTTATTCATTAATTCATCAATCATTAATGCTTATCTACTACCGTGTTTCCCTGAAAATAAAACTTACCCCCAAAATAAGCCCTAGCAGGATTTCTATGCATTTGTTAAATATAAGCCCTACCCCATAGTAAGACCTAGTGATGAGCATGGCTATGCAGCGTATCTGCATAGCCATGCCATGCATTTTGGCACGGAGAGGAAGACATTCCCTGAAAATAAGCCCTAGTGTGTCCTCTTGAGAAAAAAGAAATATAAGACAGTGTCTTATTTTCGGGGAAATATGGTAGTTGCCTTGATTCTAATGATAGAAAGATGAAACACATTCTGTCTTTGGGAGTTCACAGTCTAGTACACAAGGTGCAGATTGCATTTAAGTCACTCTTCGTTTCAGTAGAAAATCTGCTATACCAAACAAAAAGTCACCAAAAGACCCACAGTTAACTAGTTTTATTTTTGTCTGGTATTAAGCCAATATCGTCTCTTAGTGATTTTATTTTCACTCCCAGATATCTCTGCCTTACATTTATTTACATAATTATAGCAGCTAGAACTAAGTTCCAATTATGGGACTGTCTATATGGCTATACAGGTATTTTCTGAAAGAAGGATTCCACAATATAGTTCACTTTATATTTATAGAAAGTACATGCAAATATAATTCCCCATGTTTACAGTTATCAGGAATATTTGATATTCTTGAAGTTTGTTTTGTTTTGCACATATGTTAGATTATGTGAAATAATACTATCACAAGACAATGGTTAAAATAAGATTAATAATTTTTTCAAGAGAGGAAATTTTAAGTTAGATTCCTAGGACTCTGTACATTGTCATTTCTATAATGACACTGTCACTAAGCATGTGCCCTTCAAGGGGTGCTATATTAATTAAAGGTAGAGCATGTATAGAATACTATCAAGATCTGAATACTGTACCTCTTGGAAATAATGTATTTTTGGTTATTTACTATGGCTCTTTTGCCTTCATATGGAAGGGAACACATGGGAAGGCCTCTAAGGAAGCATTCAGAATGATTTTCCTCAAATGGAAATATGTAGCAATGTGTTCTAAAAGATACCTTAGAATAGGTGGAATTATCAAGGGAGTAATTTTAATTCTGCTCAAGTTACAGCTTCACAGACATGGTAAAATATACATTTTTTGAAGGAAATTGCCAAAACTCGGAATTCTATTTATCTTCTATTGGAAAATCATTTTCTGCATACATTGCCATTTACAGCTTGATTTCTTTTCTTCTGAGTCTTTGGTACTTAGAAGTAATGCTTCTGGCTTGGCGCCTATAGCTCAACTGGCTAAGGTGCCAGCCATGTACACCTAAGGTGGCGGGTTCGAATCCCCAGCCCAG